TACTGACTGATGACACAGTAAACAGTATGACTGATGACACAGTAACGTACTGACTGATGACACAGTAAAAAGTATTTACTGATGACCCCAGTAACAGTCTTACTGTGAACAGTAACAGTACTGACTGATGACACAGTAAACAGTACTGACTGATGACACAGTAACAGATTATGAACATACGTATGACTGTGACACAGTAACAGTACTGACTGATGACCACAGTAACAGTACTTACTGATGACACAGTAAACATTTTCCCTGACTGATGACACAGTAACAGTACTGACTGATGACACAGTAACAGTACTTACTGATGACACAGTAACAGTACTGACTGATGACACAGTAACAGTACTGACTGATGACACAGTAACAGTACTTACTGATGACACAGTAACAGTACTGACTGATGACACAGTAAAGTACGACTGATGACACAGTAACGTACTGACTGATGACACAGTAACAGTACTGACTGATGACACTGTAACCAGTACTGACTGATGCACAGTAACAGTACTGATTTGATGCCCACAGTAACAGTACTATGATGACAAATAACAGTACTGACTGATGAACAGTAAAGTACTGACTGATGACACGAAAACGGGTACTACTGATGACACAGTAACGTACTGATGATGACACGTAAAGTACTTGACTGATGACACAGTAACAGTACTGACTGATGACACAGAAACAGTACTGATGATGACACATTTAACAGTACTGACTGATGGCACAGAAAACCAGTACTGACTGATGACACAGTAACAGTACTACTGATGGACACAATAACAGTAGGGACTGATAAACACGTAACAGTACTGAGGGATGACACAGTAACAGTACTTACTGAGGGACCCCAGAAAACAGTACTGACTGATGACAAGTAAATGTACTGACTGATGACACAGAACAGTCTGACTGATACACAGTAACAGTACGGGACTGATGACACAGTAACAGTATGACTGATGACACAGTAACAGTATGACTGATGCACAGTAAACAGTACTTACTGATGACACAGTAACAGTACGACTGATGCACAGTAAAGTACTGTCTGATGACCAGAAACAGTACTGACTGATGACACAGTAACAGTACTGACTGTTGACCAGTAACAGTATTACGATGACAATAACAGTACTGACTGATGACACAGTAAAAGTACGCTGATGACACAGTAACATACTGACTGATGACACAGTAACAGTACTGACTGATGACCAATTTAACCAGTACTTACTGATGACACAGTAACAGTACTGACTGATGACACAGTAAAAGTACTGACTGATGACACAGTAACAGTACTTACTGATGACACAGTAACAGTACTGACTGATGACACAGTAACAGTACTGACTGATGACACAGTAACAGTACTTACTGATGACACAGTAACAGTACTTACTGATGACACAGTAACAGTACTGACTGATGACACAGTAACAGTACTTACTGATGACACAGTAACAGTACTGACTGATGACACATTTAACAGTACTGATGATGACACAGTACAGTATTACTGATGACACAGTAACAGTACTTCTGATGACACAGTAACAGTACTGACTGATGACACAGTAACAGTACTTACTGATGACACAGTAACAGTACTGACTGATGACACAGTAACAGTACTGACTGATGACACAGTAACAGTACTGACTGATGACACAGTAACAGTACTGACTGATGACACAGTAACAGTACTGACTGATGACACAGTAACAGTACTTACTGATGACACAGTAACAGTACTGACTGATGACACAGTAACAGTACTGACTGATGACACAGTAACAGTACTGACTGATGACACAGTAACAGTACTTACTGAGGGGCCCACAGTAACAGTACTGACTGATGACACAGTAACAGTACTGACTGATGACACAGTAACAGTACTGACTGATGGCACAGTAACAGTACTGACTGATGACACAGAAACGTACTGACTGATGACACAGTAACAGTACTTACTGATGACACAGTAACAGTACTGACTGATGACACAGTAACAGTACTGACTGATGACACAGTAACAGTACTGACTGATGACACAGTAACAGTACTTACTGATGACACAGTAACAGTACTGACTGATGACACAGTAACAGTACTGACTGATGACATAGTAACAGTACTGACTGATGACACAGTAACAGTACTGACTGATGACACAGTAACAGTACTTACTGATGACACAGTAACAGTACTGACTGATGACACAGTAACAGTACTGACTGATGACACAGTAACAGTACTGACTGATGACACAGTAACAGTACTGACTGATGACACAGAAAACAGTATGACTGATGACACAGTAACAGTACTGACTGATGAACAGTAACAGTACTGACTGATGACACAGTAACAGTACTGACTGATGACACAGTAACAGTACTGACTGATGACACAGTAACAGTACTGACTGATGACAACTTACATATACGTGAGTCACTTTTGCCATTTTTTTTATTTTACTAACCCAAACACCAGAAATTTTTAAAAATTGCTCTTTGTTTACAGGTGAAAAATCAAGTAGGTTTATATCAATGACTTTCTTAAAAGATGCGCTAACTTGTTAGGCCTATGTAACGTGTTGTTAGGTAAGACACATATGCAACAGTTAGGTATCTTTATTATGAAACGTTTCGCCTACACAGTAGGCTTCTTCAGTCAAGTACAGAAAAGTTGATAGAAGCAGAAGATACTTGAAGACGATGTAATCAGTCCATCACCCTTAAAGTTTTGAGGTGGTCAGTCCCTCAGTCTGGAGAAGAGCATTGTTCCATAGTATAAAACAATATGGAGAAGAAGTGACAGGATGGAGCTTTTTATAGCGCCAAGAGGTGAGACGTAGGCCACTAGGAGTGGTAAGAACTCAGATGTTGAGAGGTCAGGTCCCTCTCAAATCCAGCCCCTCTCACTAGTGGAAATTGTCGAAGTTGATTGCAGGTCTGTACCAGATACCCTTGTGTTGCAGTGTCTGACAGATTGAACATTAAAATGGTATAAAATACCGACAGGTTGTTAGGTAAGACACATATGCAACAGTTAGGTATCTTTATTATGAAACGTTTCGCCTACACAGTAGGCTTCTTCAGTCAAGTACAGAAAAGTTGATAGAAGCAGAAGATACTTGAAGACGATGTAATCAGTCCATCACCCTTAAAGTTTTGAGGTGGTCAGTCCCTCAGTCTGGAGAAGAGCATTGTTCCGAAGTCTGAAATATTGTTTCAGACTTCGGAACAATGCTCTTCTCCAGCGGGGTCCCACAGGGGTCAGTCCTAGGACCAGTGCTGTTTCTCGTATTTGTGAACGACATGACGGAAGGAATAGACTCCGAAGTGTCCCTGTTTGCAGATAACGTTAAGGTGATGAGAAGAATTCATTCGATCGAAGACCAGGCAGAATTACAAAGGGATCTGGACAGGCTGCAGACCTGGTGCAGCAATTGGCTCCTGGAGCTCAACCCCACCAAGTGCAGTCATGAAGATTGGGGAAGGGCAAAGAAGATCGCAGACGGAGTACAGTCTAGGGGGTCAGAGACTACAAACCTCACTCAAGGAAAAAGATCTTGGGAAAGAGTATAACCCCAGGCACATTCCTGAAGCGCAATCAACCCAAAAAACTGCTGCAGCATATGGGCACCTAGCAAACCCCAGAACGCATTTCCCACATCTAAATAAGGAATCGTTCAGGGGCCCTGTAACCGTGTACGTTAGGCCCATATTGGAGTATGCGTCACCAGTTTGGAACCCCCCACCTAGCCAAGCAAGTAAAGAACATAGAGAGAAAGTGCAAAGGTTTGCAACAGACTTTGTTCCAGAGCTAAGAGGTATGTCTACGAGGGAGAGGTTAAGGGAAAACAACCTGACGACACTGGAGAACAGGAGAGATAGGGGAGACATGATAACGATATACAAAATACTGAGAGGAATTGATAAGGTGAACAAAGACAGGATGTTCCAGAGATGGGACACAGCAACAAGGGGACACAGTTGGAAGTTGAAGACACAGATGAATCACAGGGATGTTAGGAAGTATTTCTTCAGCCACAGAGGAGTCAGGAAGTGGAATAGTTTGGGAAGCGATGTAGTGGATGCGGGACCCATACATAGCATTAAGCAGAGGTATGATAAAGCTCACGGTTCAGGGAGAGTGATCTAGTAGCGACCAGTGAAGAGGCGGGGCCAGAGCTAGGACTCGACCCCTGCAACCTCAACTAGGTGAGTACAATTAGGTGTGTACAATTAGGTGAGTACACACACACACACACACACACACACACACACCACACACACACACACACACACACACACACACACACACACACACACGCACACATACATACACACACACATATATATATATATATATATATATATATATATATATATATATATATATATATATATATATATAAAACACTGATCTCTGGCTGAAGGAGACTCGAACCTACGAACCTTGGAACAAGGTACGCAGTACTTAACCAATGTACCCACACTGGACCAATACCTTGGAGTCCAGCTTGCGTTAGACTTTGATCCAAGGCAGCCAGCTTTCAGGGAGAAGGCTTACAGCTTTTCATCTCATCCCCTGCATGGATCAGCCTTACTAGAGATTTTAACAATGCAAGGAATTCGCGAGAGCAGGCGAAATATACACAAACACTGATCTCTGGCTGAAGGAGACTTGAACCTACGAACCTTGGAACAAGGTTCGTAGGTTCGAGTCTCCTTCAGCCAGAGATCAGTGTTTGTGTATATTTCGCCTGCACTTGAGAATTCCTTGCATATATATATATATATATATTATATATATATATATATATATATATATATATATATATAATATATATATATATATATATATATATATATATATATATATATATATATATATATATATATTTAATGGGTTCTAACATTTGAAGTCTATTAATTTGATTAATTTCGTTGTTCCATCACTTTGCGAAGATAGGTTTTCTAGTATGCTTTCGATTTTCATTTTGTGTTACTTGCCAGTTGTGTAATGTTTGTGTGCAGGAGGACCTGACTTACCACGTTGCTACACTAGACATGGAGGTCACACCTCTCCAGCGACAGATCAACCAGAGTGCTGGTCACCTCCGTACCATCCAGTATTTTATCCACAACCACGGTTCTTCTCTGGCTGCTGCGGTGAGTGTCAGTCTGGTGGTGGCCAGGAGCCATGACTCGACCCCTCGCTAGCAGATAGATTAATATGATCACAACTGCAGAACAGTGATTTACGTAATGGATACTAAGGTGGAGAACAAAATCAAAATTAGACTCCTAGTACTAGATTTCAACCACAAGGAGATTCACTGGGGAAAACTGGAGAGTAAAACTTATACAAGTAATAACGAAAACTTTTGTCGGCATGTGAAGAAAAACATGTGGAAATTAATCTTCACCAAGATATATGTAATGTTTAACGTAACTGAGTTCACTCTTCAGATTGGTGAGGCACCATCCTTTGCTTCTCAGTCTTAGGAAGCAGATGTGACTAGTAGTAGGCTCGACGGTGTTGCCCCGGCCTGGGTCTTTTCCAGGTAGTGACTCGCCAATGCGACGAGACATCTGGAAGAGTCCCGGGCCGGGACAACACCACCGAACTTACTACAGAGACATAGCCAGTCATATATCATTTCAGATTCAGATTGGTATTAATTTTCTGGTGGTCAGTTGTATGAATCACGATGTCATCACCATAGTTTATAGGTAAATTTGTGAGGCAGAAGAGTAGACATTAACCAGAATAAGACTGAAAACTGTTGTTTTCTTTCTAAAACCTTGATAGAGAAAAAGATACTCTGTTTAACAGATAAACTATTATATAAATGAGTAAGTTACCACCAATATTCCTTTTAGCTCATTTATGCTAGATATTAAGTACAGGTTTTAAGTAAATACATGTATATGTAATAAAAGTATTGGGAAAGTATGCAGTGAGAAAGATGGTGATATATCTGCAAAATATTATTCTGTAGTCTATAGGCTGTTATTACAAAATATAATTCTGTAGTCTATAGGCTGTTATTACAAAATATAATTCTGTAGTCTATAGGCTGTTATTACAAAATATAATTCTGTAGTCTATAGGCTGTTATTACAAAATATAATTCTGTAGTCTTTAGGCTGTTATTACAAAAATAATTCTGTAGTCTATAGGCTGTTATTACAAAATATAATTCTGTAGTCTATAGGCTGTTATTACAAAATATAATTCTGTAGTCTATAGGCTGTTATTACAAAATATAATTCTGTAGTCTATAGGCTGTTATTACAAAATATAATTCTGTAGTCTATAGGCTGTTATTACAAAATATAATTCTGTAGTCTATAGGCTGTTATTACAAAATATAATTCTGTAGTCTATAGGCTGTTATTACAAAATATAATTCTGTAGTCTATAGGCTGTTATTACAAAATATAATTCTGTAGTCTATAGGCTGTTATTACAAAATATATTCTGTAGTCTATAGGCTGTTATTACAAAATATTATTCTGTAGTCTATAGGCTGTTATTACAAAATATAATTCTGTAGTCTATAGGCTGTTATTACAAAATATTATTCTGTAGTCTATAGGCTGTTATTACAAAATATAATTCTGTAGTCTATAGGCTGTTATTACAAAATATAATTCTGTAGTCTATAGGCTGTTATTACAAAATATAATTCTGTAGTCTATAGGCTGTTATTACAAAATATAATTCTGTAGTCTATAGGCTGTTATTACAAAATATAATTCTGTAGTCTATAGGCTGTTATTACAAAATATAATTCTGTAGTCTATAGGCTGTTATTACAAAATATAATTCTGTAGTCTATAGGCTGTTATTACAAAATATAATTCTGTAGTCTATAGGCTGTTATTACAAAATATAATTCTGTAGTCTATAGGCTGTTATTACAAAATATAATTCTGTAGTCTATAGGCTGTTATTACAAAATATAATTCTGTAGTCTATAGGCTGTTATTACAAAATATAATTCTGTAGTCTATAGGCTGTTATTACAAAATATAATTCTGTAGTCTATAGGCTGCTATTACAAAATATAATTCTGTAGTTTATAGGCTGTTATTACAAAATATAATTCTGTAGTCTATAGGCTGTTATTACAAAATATAATTCTGTAGTCTATAGGCTGTTATTACAAAATATAATTCTGTAGTTTATAGGCTGTTATTACAAAATATAATTCTGTAGTCTATAGGCTGTTATTACAAAATATAATTCTGTAGTCTATAGGCTGTTATTACAAAATATAATTCTGTAGTCTATAGGCTGTTATTACAAAATATTACAAATGTTTTACAGCGATAACTAGTTAGCGAAATTAGCTTAAATAAATCAGGTTTTTGTTGCTTGGCAGACTCATAGATACAGTCAGACTATTGTTCCAGGAATTAGAGAGGACACTGTCAGTGTAACTAAGTTTAGACTATTGTTCCAGGAATTAGAGAGGACACTGTCAGTGTAACTAGGTTTCTTCAGTATTAACTAAGAATTTTCAGTGAGGAGCCTCAGAGTTGTGAGAATATGCAAAGTGAAGTCATCTCCAGGATATGTTCATCGACCTTTAATAATCCCATGTCTAACTATTGTTGTTATTATTACAGACAGAAGCCACAAGGGTCATACAGGATGTCTAACTTGTATATTGTGTCAGGGTCATCACTCTCGTCAATAATTTTGCCTCGTAAATTAGACAAATTTCGACCTTTCTTCGAAAGCACTTTTTTGTTTGTTCTAATTTGAGATGATATATATTTATGCCTGGAATTTTTGGCTCAGTTATTCACGAGGTCATTAGTTCCATTAATACGAAAAGATGAATAAAAATTACCAGTTTTTTTCCCTAGTAATTTTATTTACACCATTTCAGGCTAGACTGAGACCCATTAACAAATTATTCACTTTTTTTTTATTTTCTTTTTGGGCGTGTAAGTTAATGTTTTTGGCTCTCCATTTTTTTTTCTTGAGGGGGGGGGGGGAGGAGGTCATTACGGTTTTTATTACGTTTTATTTTGATCTGCGAGTAAATTCTCATAGATGGTAGATGTTAAGTTTTTGTGACCGTGACCTCGGGACTCAAACATTGACCCAAATAGGTTAGTTAGTTAGTGAGTTACCAGTTTTCAAAAGGGGGTTTTTTCGAATAACACTTGGCCCTTTTTGTGTGTGTATTGTGTTATGTTTTTTGTGTGTTGGGTTTTTTGTATTTTTGTGTGTGTTGTGTGTGTTTTTGTGTGTGTTTTTGTGTGTGTGTTTTGTGGACAACCCCCCTAGTTGAGGTTGGGGGGGGGTCGAGTCCGACTCCGGTGTGTCAGTACTGACAGTGGGTGTCATTTAAACGGCAAAAAACTCGGGGTTTCGTGGAGAAAGGGAAATGGGTATAAAACTTTAGTTAAAACGGGGCCCCTGTACTACGTCAAGGGTTTTGCACACTGTGGCCCCCTGTACACCCGTATGGGGAAAATTTTTCGACTCTGGGGCGAGGGGCCCTCACTTTTCAACGGGATCATTGAAACCCGTGGGAACAAGCAAAACACAGCTTAGATTTGGTTTAAAAATTCGTCAGGGGACAAAAAAGAGTGTTTCCTAACGCAAAGGTTTTTAGTTTCATATGAACAACCACGGGCTTCCAGTCACCTTGGGCGAGAAACTTCCACTTTTTTACCCCCTTTCCCCTACAACACACACACACCCCCCAAACATATATTTATAAAAATATATAAAATTTATATATATAAAATAAAAATATAAAAAAAATGAGAAGTTTTTTCAAAGTTTTGAAGTATGCAAGGGGGGAAGAGTATTTTGGGGGAAAAAAAAAAAGAAGTTAAGAGAGTGGTTTTTTGGGAAGGCCCCCAAAGGAAAAAGAAGCCAAAAGAAGAGTGGGGGAGATGTTTTCAAAAAATTTTTGGAAAATAAAAAAAAGTTTTGGAAATGAATTAAAAAAGTTAAAAAAGCCTAGAGAACAAATGGATTTGTCAGTTTAAAAATAGGAGAGGAGAGTTATTAAATGGAGAGTTAGAGGTATTGGAAGATGGAAGGAATATTTTGAGGAATTGTTAAATGTTGATGAAGATAGGGAAGCTGTGATTTCGTGTATAGGGCAAGGAGGAATAACATCTTGTAGGAGTGAGGAAGAGCCAGTTGTGAGTGTGGGGGAAGTTCGTGAGGCAGTAGGTAAAATGAAAGGGTGGGGTAAGGCAGCCGGGATTGATGGGATAAAGATAGAAATGTTAAAAGCAGGTGTGGGGATATAGTTTTGGAGTGGTTGGTGCAATTATTTAATTAAATGTATGGAAGAGGGTAAGGTACCTAGGGATTGGGCAGAGAGCATGCATAGTTCCTTTGTATAAAGGCAAAGGGGATAAAAGAGAGTGCAAAAATTATAGGGGGATAAGTCTGTTGAGTGTACCTGGTTAAAGTGTATGGTAGAGTTATAATTGAAAGAATTAAGAGTAAGACGGAGAATAGGATAGCAGATGAACAAGGAGGCTTTAGGAAAGGTAGGGGGGTGTGGACCAGGTGGTTTACAGTGAAACATATAAGTGAACAGTATTTAGATAAGGCTAAAGAGGTCTTTGTGGCATTTATGGATTGGAAAAGGCGTATGACAGGGTGGATAGGGGGGCAATGTGGCAGATGTTGCAAGTGTATGGTGTAGGAGGTAGGTTACTGAAAGCAGTGAAGAGTTTTTACGAGGATTAGTGAGGCTCAAGTTAGAGTATGTAGGAAAGAGGGAAATTTTTTCCCAGTAAAAGTAGGCCTTAGACAAGGATGTTGATGTCACCGTGGTTGTTTAATATATTTATAGATGGGGTTGTAAGAGAAGTAAATGCGTAGGGTTTTGGCAAGAGGCGTGGAGTTAAAAGATAAAGAATCACACACAAAGTGGGAGTAGTCACAGCTGCTCTTTGCTGATGACACTGTGCTCTTGGGAGATTCTGAAGAGAAGTTGCAGAGATTGGTGGATGAATTTGGTAGGGTGTGCAAAAGAAGAAATTAAAGGTGAATACAGGAAAGAGTAAGGTTATGAGGATAACAAAAAGATTAGGTGATGAAAGATTGAATATCAGATTGGATGGGAGAGAGTATGGAGGAGGTGAACGTATTCAGATATTTGGGAGTGGACGTTGTCAGCGGATGGGTCTATGAAATGATGAGGTGAATCATAGAATTGATGAGGGAAAAAGAGTGAGTGGTTGCACTTAGGAGTCTGTGGAAACAAAGAACTTTGTCCTTGGAGGCAAAGAGGGGAATGTATGAGAGTATAGTTTACCAACGCTCTTATATGGGTGTGAAGCGTGGTGTTGATGAATGTTGCAGCGAGGAGAAGGCTGGAGGCAGTGAGATGTCATTGTCTGAGGCAATGTGTGGTGTGAATATATGCAGAGAATTCGTCTAGTTTGGAAGTTAGGAGGAGGTGCGGGATTACCAAAACTGTTGTCCAGAGGGCTGAGGAAGGGTTGTTGAGGTGGTTCGGACATGTAGAGAGAATGGAGCGAAACAGAATGACTTCAAGAGTGTATCAGTCTGTAGTGGAAGGAAGGCGGGGTAGGGGTCGGCCTAGGAAGGGTTGGAGGGAGGGGGTAAAGGAGTTTTGTGTGCGAGGGGCTTGGACTTCCAGCAGGCATGCGTGAGCGTGTTTGATAGGAGTGAATGGAGACAAATGGTTTTTAATACTTGACGTGCTGTTGGAGTGTGAGCAAAGTAACATTTATGAAGGATTCGGGGAAACCGGCAGGCCGGACTTGAGTCCTGGAGATGGGAAGTACAGTGCCTGCACTCTGAAGGAGGGGTGTTAATGTTGCAGTTTAAAAACTGTAGTGTAAAGCACCCTTCGGGCAAGACAGTGATGGAGTGAATGATGTGAAAGTTTTTCTTTTTCGGGCCACCCTGCCTTGGTGGGAATCGGCCGGTGTGATAATAAATAAAAAATAAAATATATATATATATTTATATATATATATATATATAATATATATATATATTTATATATATATATATATTATATATATATATATTTTATGTGTCTGGAGTTTTGAGACTCTCTGATCGCGGGTTCTATTCCCGCCCGTGGTATTTTTTGTTTGCAATCGTGTCATTACGTTTTTCGTGAGTCATGTATATATATATATATATATATATATATATATATATATATAATATATATATATATATATATATTATATATATATTAATGCATACACATAAACAAAGTAGTTTTAAACAGATACAGTACTGCAGCTGACCGAGGATCGAACCCTTGACAGCCAATATCCCAAACCTTTCCTTTAAAGTGCAGGCAATGAACTTCTCACCTCCAGGACTCAAGTCCGGTTAACTGGTTTCCCTGAATTCCTTCACAAAATATTACCCTGCTTAGACTCCAACAGCTCGCCAGGTCCTCAAATCCATCTGTCTCCACTCCTATCTAACATGCTCCCACATGCCTGCTGTACGTCCAAGCCCCTCGCACACAAAACCTCCTTTACCCCTCCCTCCATCCTTTCCTAGGACGACCCCTACCCCTTCTCCCCTTCATTACAGATTTATGCACTAAGTTGTCCTATTTTGCTTCATCCTCTCTAAATGACCAAACCGCCTCAATAAGTCCTCCTCAGCCCTATGAATAATTCTTTTATTAACTCTGCATCTCCTCCTAATCTCCATACTACTAATTCTTTGCATAATATTTACGACACATTGTCTTTAGACACGGTATCACCACTGCCTTCAGCCTCCTTCTCGCTACAACATTCACAACCCATGGTTCACACCCATATGAGAGTGTTGGTACCACTATACTCTCATACTTTCCCTTCTTTGCCTCCATGGATTACGTTCTTTGTCCACAGATACCTCAATATATCACCCACTTTTTTTTCCTTCATCACTTCTAGGGTTCACGTCGTCTTTCATAAACCTATCTGCTGACAATTCAACTCTCAAATATCTAAACGCATTCACTTCTTCCATACTCCCTCACTCCAGTCTGATATTCAATTTTTCATTACCTAACTCGTTTGATACTCTCATCACCTTATCTATGTTCACTTTCATCTTCCTTTACACCATGTAACATGCTGAGGATGTGATGTCTGTTCTTCTTTAAACAGAATGTGTTGTGGGTGTCGGCCAGCTGGTGCCTGCTGTTGTTCCTGCCAGCCGTCTGTGTGAGTCTCTCTCTCTCTCGCTACTTCCTCCGCCTCCAGTATGATGCTCATGCACTGCCTCTGTGAGTTATTGCTACGCTTCATATTGATCACAGGAAGTGGAACTTACCCTTCTCCCCTTCCTCAGATCAGAACTGATTATCATCCCATTTCCTTACTGGTTTTAGCGATTCCTCAGGAATATAATAATAATAATAGCAGTCAGTGGTTGCACACTGTATGTGATTGACTTGTTGACTGTTGCTTCTAAGTTTATCTAAGATTAATCGGGACAGGATTTCACAGTACCAGAGATATACCGAAGATTCGAAATTTTTAATTTAGAATGTTGAGTTCGCACTTAATCTCAAAGAACTTAATATTGAAGAACTTAATCTCTGAAAAAATGGGTAGCCAGTGAACTGCAGCGTATTGCTGAAGAGTGGACAACGTGGATGAACAGAGATGGGGAGGAGACCAGTTGCTGGCTGGCGGTATTGCTCACCACAATTCACATTACGTTTCTAGAATGATTCATCCGTCTCCACCATTTGTTGCAGCGGGTTTCTTATTGCAGTGGCAGTGTCGGGGTCTTTGAAGGTTGAGTGAAAACACCTAGACCGTTCAGTTCGAACTGCCATTGGCTACAAGCCCTCAGGCATTCCAGTTTTATGCATGTGTGTAGGCGGAAGTAACTCAAAAATAAAAGCATAGGTGGCAGAAAATATTTGTAGCATAAAAGGTATTATGCTACCTGTGTCTTTATTTCCACTTGTTAACGTTTGTCATTGTCGAACCTCACCGACCTCACTGTCGCTGTTAAATGGAGGAACCCATACCCATTACTGACATCTCAGTACATTATCGACATAACAAACTTGCCATGTACATAGCTAGACAGGATACAACACTAATGTGGCTTGGATCTTGTAAGGCCTAGTCTTGAAGCTTAATCCTGATCAAAAGCTGATTAACCCTCAGCCTTTATACTATTACTGGAGTGAAATATTTACAGCAAACTTTAAATAAGTTAAGAGTGAAGACAACATCCTGGTGCCTGGACACGTTGTACACTAAGGTCCAGAAATCTTGTGACATAAACCAACTCTAAGATGACAGATATATTATACGTAACACAAAGAACACAATTATTTTATGCTTTTCATGATTACAACTGTATATGACTGTTGAAATAACTAAAACGAGAAGAGAGACATGTTATGCAGCTATAAATCAACAGGAAGGAGAAGAGACATGTTATGCAGCTATAAATCAACAGGAAGGAGAAGAGACATGTTATGCAGCTATAAATCAACAGGAAGAAGAGACATGTTATGGAGCTATAAATCAACAGGAAGAAGAGACATGTTATACAGCTATAAATCAACAGGAAGAAGAAGAGACATGTTATGCAGCTATAAATCAACAGGAAGAAGAAGAGACATGTTATGAAGCTATAAATCAACAGGAAGGAGAAGAGACATGTTATGCAGCTATAAATCAACAGGAAGGAGAAGAGACATGTTATGCAGCTATAAATCAACAGGAAGGAGAAGAGACATGTTATGAAGCTATAAATCACAGGAAGAAGAAGAGACATGTTATGCAGCTATAAATCAACAGGAAGGAGAAGAGACATGTTATGAAGCTATAAATCAACAGGAAGGAGAAGAGACATGTTATGCAGCTATAAATCAACAGGAAGGAGAAGAGACATGTTATGAAGCTATAAATCAACAGGAAGAATAAGAGACATGTTATGCAGCTATAAATCAACAGGAAGGAGAAGAGACATGTTATGCAGCTATAAATCAACAGGAAGAAGAGACATGTTATACAGCTATAAATCAACAGGAAGAAGAAGAGACATGTTATGCAGCTATAAATCAACAGGAAGAAGAAGAGACATGTTATGAAGCTATAAATCAACAGGAAGGAGAAGAGACATGTTATGCAGCTATAAATCAACAGGAAGAAGAAGAGACATGTTATGCAGCTATAAATCAACAGGAAGAAGAAGAGACATGTTATGCAGCTATAAATCAAACAGGAAGAAGAGACATGTTTTTGAAGCTATAAATCAACAGGAAGAAGAAGAGACATGTTATACAGCTATAAATCAACAGGAAGAAGAAGAGACATGTTATGCAGCTATAAATCAACAGGAAGAAGAGACATGTTATACAGCTATAAATCAACAGGAAGAAGAAGAGACATGTTATACAGCTATAAATCAACAGGAAGAAGAAGAGACATGCTATGAAGCTATAAATCAACAGGAAGAAGAAGAGACATGTTATGAAGCTATAAATCAACAGGAAGGAGAAGAGACATGTTATGCAGCTATAAATCAACAGGAAGAAGAAGAGACATGTTATGCAGCTATAAATCAACAGGAAGAAGAGACATGTTATGCAGCTATAAATCAACGAGAAGAAGAGACATTTTTTATACAGCTATAAATAAACAGGAAGAAGAAGAGACATGTTATGAAGCTATAAATCAACAGGAAGAAGAAGAGACATGTTATGAAGCTATAAATCAACAGGAAGAAGAAGAGACATGTTATGCAGCTATAAATCAACAGGAAGAAGAGACATGTTATGCAGCTATAAATCAACATGAAGAAGAGACATGTTATGCAGCTATAAATCAACAGGAAGAAGAAGAGACATGTTATGCAGCTATAAATCAACAAGAAGAAGAAGAGACATGTTATGCAGCTATAAATCAACAGGAAGAAGAGACATGTTATGCAGCTATAAATCAACAGGAAGAAGAGACATGTTATGAAGCTATAAATCAACAGGAAGAAGAAGAGACATGCTATGCAGCTATAAATCAACAGGAAGAAGAGACATGTTATGAAGCTATAAATCAACAGGAAGAAGAGACATGTTATGAAGCTATAAATCAACAGGAAGAAGAGACATGTTATGCAGCTATAAATCAACAGGAAGAAGAAGAGACATGTTATGCAGCTATAAATCAACAGGAAGGAGAAGAGACATGTTATGAAACTATAAATCAACAGGAAGAAGAAGAGACATGTTATGCAGCTATAAATCAACAGGAAGAAGAAGAGACATGTTATGAAACTATAAATCAACAGGAAGAAGAAGAGACATGTTATGCAGCTATAAATCAACAGGAAGGAGAAGAGACATGTTATGCAGCTATAAATCAACAGGAAGGAGAAGAGACATGTTATGCAGCTATAAATCAACAGGAAGAAGAGACATGTTATGCAGCTATAAATCAACAGGAAGAAGAGACATGTTATGAAGCTATAAATCAACAGGAAGAAGAGACATGTTATGAAGCTATTTAAAACAACAGGAAGAAGAGACATGTTATGCAGCTATAAATCAACAGGAAGAAGAGACATGTTATGCAGCTATAAATCAACAGGAAGGAGAAGAGACATGTTATGAAGCTATAAATCAACAGGAAGAAGAGACATGTTATGAAGCTATAAATCAACAGGAAGAAGAAGAGACATGTTATGAAGCTATAAATCAACAGGAAGGAGAAGAGACATGTTATGAAGCTATAAATCAACAGGAAGAAGAGACATGTTATGCAAACTATAAATCAACAGGAAGAAGAGACATGTTATGCAGCTATAAATCAACAGGAAGAAGAGACATGTTATGCAGCTATAAATCAACAGGAAGAAGAGACATGTTATGCAGCTATAAATCAACAGGAAGAAGAGACATGTTATGAAGCTATAAATCAACAGGAAGAAGAGACATGTTATGAAGCTATAAATCAACAGGAAGAAGAGACATGTTATGCAGCTATAAATCAACAGGAAGGAGAAGAGACATGTTATGAAGCTATAAATCAACAGGAAGAAGAGACATGTTATGAAGCTATAAATCAACAGGAAGAAGAAGAGACATGTTATGCAGCTATAAATCAACAGGAAGGAGAAGAGACATGTTATGAAGCTATAAATCAACAGGAAGAAGAGACATGTTACGCAGCTATAAATCAACAGGAAGAAGAGACATGTTACGCAGCTATAAATCAACAGGAAGAAGAGACATGTTATGAAGCTATGAATCAACAGGAAGAAGAAGAGACATGTTATGCAGCTATAAATCAACAGGAAGAAGAAGAGACATGTTATGAAGCTATAAATCAACAGGAAGAAGAGACATGTTACGCAGCTATAAATCAACAGGAAGAAGAGACATGTTACGCAGCTATAAATCAACAGGAAGAAGAGACATGTTATGCAGCTATAAATCAACAGGAAGAAGAGACATGTTATGAAGCTATAAATCAACAGGAAGAAGAGACATGTTATGCAGCTATAAATCAACAGGAAGGAGAAGAGACATGTTATGAAGCTATAAATCAACAGGAAGGAGAAGAGACATGTTATGCAGCTATAAATCAACAGGAAGAAGAAGAGACATGTTATGCAGCTATAAATCAACAGGAAGAAGAGACATGTTTTTGCAGCTATAAATCAACAGGAAGAAGAGACATGTTATGCAGCTATAAATCAACAGGAAGAAGAGACATGTTATGAAGCTATAAATCAACAGGAAGAAGAGACATGTTATGAAGCTATAAATCAACAGGAAGAAGAGACATGTTATGCAGCTATAAATCAACAGGAAGGAGAAGAGACATGTTATGCAGCTATAAATCAACAGGAAGAAGAGACATGTTATGCAGCTATAGATCAACAGGAAGAAGAGACATGTTATGCAGCTATAAATCAACAGGAAGAAAAGAGACATGTTATGCAGCTATAAAATCAACAGGAAGAAGAGACATGTTATGCAAACTATAAATCAACAGGAAGAAGAGACATGTTACGCAGCTATAAATCAACAGGAAGAAGAAGAGACATGTTATGCAGCTATAAATCAACAGGAAGAAGAAGAGACATGTTATGCAGCTATAAATCAACAGGAAGAAGAAGAGACATGTTATGAAGCTATAAATCAACAGGAAGAAGAGACATGTTATGCAGCTATAAATCAACAGGAAGAAGAGACATGTTTATGCAGCTATAAATCAACAGGAAAGAAGAGACATGTTATGCAGCTATAAATCAACA